GGGGGAGGGGCGACCTTAAAAAGTACACTACACTGCACATTAAACGAAAACAAAAAAATCTTGTTTGGAGCCCAGACCTCCCCGGCCGTATCCACTTGATGGCAGTCCAGGCCGGGGATTCAGATCGTGACCCCTCCTGTTCAATTGCGGGACCCCATATGCACTGCTTTAAGAAGCACTGCTATAGAGCACAAAGGTAGGGCACAAAAGTGCATTTAGGTGTATTGGTGCATGACAACAAGCCCCACCCCCTAGCAACCTCTGTTAGGCATTCATTGGTCAAACAAAAAGATGCAAAACACGCTGTGGTTAGAAATGCTCAACCGCTGGCATCACTGATGTAGAAGTCTTTCACTAGAAATAAAACTTGACGGTATGGCCAATCTAAAGACAATAACGGCGCTGCCCTATTTCATGCAATAAGCTTCCTGTAATGTAAACTCAATATGGGAGGAGCTGTGAGCCAATGACATGGGAAGCGATTCTAAAAGATCCAGCCTACTGATGGTATGGATGCCATGGTGGCTGAAGCTGTCCCTTTAAGAAAAGTTTTGCTTTACATTCCTTCTTTTCATGGACATGAACTATACAAATGACATTTCTTATAAGTTGTCTTTACATCCCGGTTCAGGTTTATCTGCATGCAAATGAAGCAACAATCCGACCTGAAGATAGTCTGAGATGCAAAGAGCACCCAGGCGACCCAATGAAATTGAAGAGCGACGAGAGTCACATGACTGAGCAGATTTTACAGCTCACCCTGGAGATCATCTACCTTCTGACCGGAGAGGTGAGGAGGATTCTGGGAGGTCACATGACATCACTCTAATCTCTAGTAATAAAACACAGACCTGGCTGGAGAGGTGAGGAGGATTCTGGGAGATCACATGACATCACTCTAATCTCTATTAATAAAACACAGGCCTGGCTGGAGAGGTGAGGAGGATTCTGGGAGGTCACATGACATCACTCTAATCTCTATTAATAAAACAGACCTGGCTGGAGAGGTGAGGAGGATTCTGGGAGGTCACATGACATCACTCTAATCTCTATTAATAAAACAGACCTGGCTGGAGAGGTGAGGAGGATTCTGGGAGGTCACATGACATCACTCTAATCTCTATTAATAAAACACAGACCCGGCTGGAGAGGTGAGGATTCTGGGAGGTCACATGACATCACTCTAATCTCTATTAATAAAACACAGACCTGACTGGAGAGCTGAGGAGGATTGAGATCATGTATATGATAGATGAATGTATGAACAGGTCATGTTCAACGGAAAGTACTAGACATGCACCGAAATTTCGGCCAGCGAAGCATATCGGCTGAAAATGTCACTTTTGGAAAAATGCTGAAAGTGCCATATTTCGGCCATATTGGGGAAGCATGACTAGTTTCTCTCCTCCTCGCTGGGCGCTGCTCTGTGTCCCCTCTGACACAGCGCAGCGTCCAACGGGGAGGAGAGAAACTGTCACAGGAGGTGAGCGGTCAGCGTGTCACAAAAGGCCAAGCTCAGCCTCCTGTGACAGATCAGGAGAGTGGTGTGGGGGCGGAGACAGCTGTCACAGGGGCCGAGCCAGCGGTG